ACTATAGAAATGTACCCAACTATGACGACATCTGCTTCTAAGAACCCCAGAAATATGAAAGGTGTCCATTGTGCCAAAATAGTAATGTAGGGTTTTTTCACAATACACTGCTACTTGCTGGAAAAAGTAGCTTGTCACTAAGCTACACTTTTTTTAACAAAAGCTGACCTACTGTCACCCTTCTGATAAATGCAGTAAGGTTAGTATGGCGTCGCTACTTCTAGTTAGTTACTCCCCAGCACTGTTGAGAATATACCAATATCCTTGTAGGCCTGACATTTAGCATGTGCCTCCATTCTAGCAGAGCCACGGTTCCTGGACTCTGATATGATGAAAAAGGTGGTAAGAGGCATTTTAAGGTCCAAATGATGATGCTAGTTTGAGGAGTCACATGGATAAATGTTTACTTTACACTGCTATACATTCTCATAAAGACACTTGAAGGTCAATATTTCTCTCTCTAATGAAGATTCCCTGTGCCGCAGGGATTAGAAATATGGGTAACGTTCAAAGCAAAAGGGCAACTCGTTAATCTAGCCTAAAACTGAAGGAAACCCCATAGTGCTAAAGCTGAGCATTGGCAAGTGCCCTAGAAATAAAGTTATTTATTTTTTTATATGCTCTGTAACACAGACCTCTCCCCCTTCGCTGGTTAAAAGATCGTTTGCAATCAGAAATGTTGTTTATCCCAGCGCTCCAATAAACAAAGTTTACACTTGTACTGACGTTTATTGTACTAGTTTATCTTATGTAGATCGCAATTTGGTCAAAAACAAATATTTACATCATAAACCCAGAGATGGTGTTTTCAAGTCACAGAGGAATAAAATGAGTTTCATCAAATTAATTGCCCAATCACTGACTGAATAAATTTGACAGTTTACGTTTCATTCATTTATCCATTTCATTCATCCATGCTTGAATTTCAGATATATTTCAAGATATTTAATTCTTTGAGGTGGCCCCAAATGTGCAGTAGAGCTTGTAATCACATTGAGAAACAAATTGATGCTGTCAGCTATACTGGTTAACTGATTGGCTTTCCACACCAAACCCTGTGTTCTTTCTATTGTGTATGCAACTGCACATGTGTATCTGGAAATCACATTCACTGGGTTTGAGGGGCATTTTCAAATAATCTGTAAATCACAATTCTAACAGTAGTGCTCCACTAAAATTTCTATCAAAGTATAGTAAATTTGATAAAGAACTTACTTTTCAAAGTACAGTACGTTCTGTAGGTATGCAGGCATGTCAGTGTCAGTGTGTGTGTGTGTGTGTATATACAGTATATATATATATATATATATATATATATATATATATATATATATATATACTGTATACACACACACAGTGTCAGTAAACATATATACTATATATATACTGTATAGACACAATTCTTTGAACTGTCATGGAAATAAAAAAATACTCTCCATTTAATAATTTAAAATAAAAGGAATCAGCTATGGTAAAACATTTGCTATAATATAACAAGATATTACTGATACATGTTGCAAAAAAATAATTCTGATTGGGTGCTTAACTCGAGTAGGCACACATGTGCTCTCTAGTTTTTATTGACATTCAGGGACAGGTTGCTGCTGAGCCCACATGCAATCAAAACCTTCACCTCGATTCTGTATGGAGCTTGATTATTTTCAGTTGCTAGTCCAATCACAGTAAACGTAATTACGCGATGTAATTATCCAGTTGCTGCTATAATTGGTTGAACAGTCATGTGTGAACGGTAAGTACTTTCTGTGGCAGTTGGGGTGCCCAATGTTCACAGTCAGTTCAGTTGATAATTTGCTGATCTTCACAGGTTTGCTTGTTAGTAAGTCCAGTTGCAGACAGAGTTGCTCAGTACTAGATGCCCAATAAGGGTATCAGGTTGTTTACAATACCAGCAAAATTGACTAGTCCCGATAACAAACAATCTAATGTGTGTGGGAAAATAGGAACACGCAATGGGAAAACCATTGCTATGCTGATGACACACAGCTCTATCTTTCATTTCAA